GATGGGACCAAATGCCACAGGGGAACTGCATCCATGGGACTGAGCTTTCATTGCCCACAGTGGAGCACAGATGGTGCCACCTTCTTACCCATCCCACACATCCCAGAGCTGAGGCCATGGCAGGGCAATGGCCAGGACTGTTCACCCTTCTTATCTCATAGTATGTGGCAATTGGAGGAATTGGTTCTATTTTGGGCAAGACCACGGGGTCCTTCTGCCATTTTGCAACCCTCAGAGTTGGCAGGTCTCCCTCTGTCCCCTCACAGCCCAGCCAGGTGCCCATTCTGCCACCTGCCCCCTCTCCCTCTGACTTGAACCCACGGCTCCTATTCTAGCTAATGGGGTCATCAAATGCACAGAGTGGATTTGGCAATTATTTGTGTCCCAAGCATCAGGAGCAGGAGAGCAGTCAGTCTCTGCCGAGCTCCTGTCATCCCCAAACATTCTGCCCATGCTCCCGATGAGCAGCTTGGGAAGCAGTGAGGGGAGCAGGAGAGCAAAGCATCCCCTGTGTCCCTCTGTCCCCAGAGCCCTGTGATGTGCCTGTACCTGCAGGAAGCTCCGCCGTGGCCCAGGTGCCCTGATGTGGCCAAGCCTCTGTCTGGCACCTGCACGGGGCCAGCAGCACCGACACCCCTTGGTGCAGCAATGGGCCCCATGGCAGGACACAAAGAGATGGCAGGGCACAAGGAAAGGGACAAGAGGGGTGCAGAGGACGGGAGGGGAAAGGGTGGGCAAAGGCTGCGTGGCAGTGCGGGCACTGGGCTGGGACACAGGGGGACAGAGGGAGAGCTGCCAGCACCAAGGGCTGCAAAAGGAATCAGTTACCCCACAGCCTTTCTCCAGATAGAACCACTTTCCCTGATTGCCACACACCTCAGGGACATGCAGGGACAGGCAATGCTGGCTGCTGCCCTGGCTGTGGCTTTTGCACTCCCAGAATTGTGACCATGGCAGGGTACCCATGTCCACAATCCCCTGGGGGCAGCAATGGCTCTGTGTTGCTGCCACAGGAGTTACACATCCTGGAGTCAGCACTCTGTCCCTGGAAACTAAGCCCAGGAGGACGTTGAGGGCATTGGATATTTCTGGGCATCCAAATCTCTGGACACCCACAGGCTCCATTGTCTCCAGACTGTCCTGTTTTGTAAGATAAGCTTGTATTCTATTTGCCATCTGTTGGAGGTTGGGCAGGTTTATTATCTCTTCCAAGAAAGATGGTTTGCTCCGAAGAGGTAATGGTTTGTTAATGGGCCATTGACTGACTCACTTGCAGGGCTGGTAAACGTAACACCATCCCATTGTGAGATGCTCCACCCAGAGGGGGAAGCCAAGCACTCTTTTATTGTATAAAGTGGTACCTTTTGGGAGACAGAGCAGCTTTCTCTTTGCGGGATTCCCAGAGAAGCAGCTCCTTTGGCGGGATTCCTCGAGAAGCGGCCGGAGCGCGGTGAGGCAGCGGCGGCGGAGCTCGGAGGCAACTCCGGCGCAGAGGAAGACCGGCCCAACTGCCACCAGATCTTCAGTGAAAACTATACCCTTCTAAAGATCACCCCTTCAGCTGCAATTCATCAGCCACTGCAAGAGGAGCAGCTATCATTTCAACCGGACTGCTACCAACACCCCGAATCCTCAGGTTGTGGACTTTATCACTAGTTTTTTTTGTACCAATTGCATTTGCCTTTTTAGATTGTTATTTAGTTTCTCCTAGTAAAGAATTGTTACTCCTATTCCCATATCTTTGCCTGAGAGCCGTTTAAATTAAAAATACTGGTAATTTGGAGGGAGGGGGTTTACCTTCTCCATTGCACAGGAGGCTTTTGCCCTCCTTCACAGACTCCTGTCTTGTCAAACCAAGACACAGACAACCAGTGGGAATAGGTTCCAGTGAATTTCCAGAGTGTTCCAGATTTCCCTATGTGTGCCAAAGGCATTGCTCAATGTCCCTGTCGTGTTCACGTCACGAGTGCATGGCAGCAGGAAGGAGGGTAGGTGACAGTCCCCTACAGCCTTCCCAAACTGGGGGGCAGGAGCTGGACCCACACCCAGTGGGTTCCAGAACTGGTCGCGCTGGGGACTGAGGTAATACAGGACAGGATGGGAGAGGCCATGGGCACCTCTCCTCCTTTCTACCCCCACAGTTCCTGGCATGGGGAGGCAGCAGGACCCCTGGCCAGCTCGGGTGAAGGCCACTGGGAGCCTGGGCCAGGAAAGATTGCACAGAGCCAGGGACACTGCAGGGCAGAGCCCCGGCTGGGCTGGAGCCAAGCCCCACCCCAAGGCCATCCAGACCATCCGGGCTGGCAGGGGAGGACAGCAGGGGAGGGACGTGCCCCAGCAGTGCATAAAAAGCCCCCGCAGGGACAGGGAGCAGGTGACAGTGTCAGGAGAGCCCAGAGCAGCACTGCCAGAGCAGCAGCAGAAGGGCCATGGAGCAATACTTCTCAGCCACGCAGAAGATGGAGCGGGAGGTGATGTTCCCCAGCCTGCTCCGAGGGGTCTTCCCGCAGCAGGAGGGGGCAGCCCCGGCTGCAGAGAGCCGCACGGACCTCTACGAGCGCTACCAGCTCCTCAAGGCCATCAAGCCCATGGTGGAGAAAGGCCTGGCCTCTGTCGCTGACCAGAGCCCCAGCGATGCCGACACCGACGTGGACACATCCTCGGACAGCAACGAGGCCGAGGATGCCCAGCTGGAGGAGCGCCTGTCCCACCACCTGAATGGCCTGCAGCAGGTCCTCACCCACCTCACCAGGGACACCAACGCCCTGACCCGGAGGTACAGCCAGATCCTGGAGCAGATCAGCCCCAGCGAGGGCCAGCCCAGCTGGTGACCCTGTCCTGGCCACCAGGTAAGAGCTGGGGACATGCAGAGTCCAGGGGCAGCAAGGCAGTGGCTGGGCTCCCTCTTGGGAGAGGTGCCCAAGAGTGCAGGGCTGGGGACCTGCTGGGAAGGGCCT